CTACCACTACCACTACGACTACTACTGCTGCTGCTGCTGCTACTGCTCCTGTTCCTGCTCCTGCTGCAATGCTCCTGCTACTGCTACAACCTACACCTACTCCTGCGCCTGCGATGGCGACAGCGACTGCAGCTACGACGACGTCGACGACAGCTACTGCTTCTGAGCTGCTGCAACACCCAAGGAAATCCATACAAAAACCAAATTCTGCTGCGGACTATAGGCTCGGACCCTGCGGGCCTGACCATGGCGACGGGGAGGCGCGAAGCCCGAGGCTCCCGTCCCAACCCCCTGCCTTTAGAGCCAGTCTGCAACGTGACTCTTGGGATTGGGGGCGTGGAACACAGGTGACTAACTGCACTGCAGGATAGTGCTGACACGTGCACTCTGCGCTGGATCAGGGAGTACCGGCTTGTGCGACGACGCGCAGACTTGAAGACGGCTCACACATCGAGAATGGCGAAGCTGAACTTGCGACCGCGCACTACATCTCTGCGGCTACGAGCTTGCAAACGGCTCTGTTCTTAAGCTGCACAACAGCACGTGGGCTTTTCTAAAAGGTATCCAAAGCCTTACTCGGAATCAAGGAAGCTTATTTTCTCTCAGAATCTGTGCTTGGAATGCCATTCTGGCTGAGGCGGGGCAAGGCGAGAGTCTGCAACTAGGGCAAGGACACACCACCACTACCGCCACTCGTCGCCCACACCACGGAGTTCCCTGCTCATAGCGATGAGACTGACCTACTCAACCTATGCATCACCCGTGCACAACCTCAGGGAATGTCACAGCATGGCAGCAGACGAACTACAACCAAACACAGTCAGTGCCGGTAGGGAATATATCACAAAGCACAGCGGGGCCTCACTAGCATCAACCACGCGAGACATACACTGCAACACGGTGCTGCATTCAACCACATTCACATGCTGATAGCATCCGTCAGGTCGCTGAGATAGCATGTGCTGGCGACCAGTCCCTCAAAGTGGATAAAACCCAAACCGAACAGTCAGGCTCGCTAAATGTCACCGTCCGAGATCCGGCCGGGGTTTAGGGTTTGGGAGTTAGGATCTAGGATTTGGGGTTTAGGGCGTTTAGAGTTTAATCTTAGGGTGTTGGTAGGGATAAGCTTTCCATGCTCCGCCCTAAGCCCACGCTCATTTGAAGGAAAATGAAGACCCTGTTGCGTTTTATAAGGAGGTGCGAGGAGCTCTCCTGAAACCCGAAACCTGCGTCTCGTGCATAATGCATGGTTGAAGCCAGACCTCTTTATCTGTCAGGCTTCCAGCCTGTTGCTTGCCCGAAACGGGTCAAAATAGATACATCTGCGAGGAAAGCCCTGACCCAAAAACCTGGACCGTGAAGTCTTTAGTTTAACTCACATTACTCTAACTCTTTTTGAACCCGGACCTCTATCCAATCAGCTGGGAGCCACGCCCAGGGGACATGTGCGGATATTGACTACCACACTTTCCACTTCTGAGTACAGCTTGAAATTTTCTCGCTTCAATCGCAAAAATCTTCACATACCTGCTTGTTCCCTGTCAAACCCTAAACCGTCAGCCCAGACCCTAAACCCTAAGCATAGACTCTAGACCCTAAACTCTAAACCCACAAATCCTAAAAGCCTAGGGCCCTAAACCCCCAAGACTGATAAGAAATGTCGGTCTTTTTCTCCTGACGCCAGCATTGCTTCGCTAATCGACAGTGCGGGGGCGGGCGGGTTCTGTCGCGGAAGGTGAAGGTCTAAACTCATATACCATGATTCGATCATAGACTACTACTTTACAGGCTTTACAATGAAACTACCACTACAACAGGTTTAGGCTACATAGGATTTATAGGGATTATGAATTTTCGGTTGGGCATGTAGGGGGCAGCTAGGGTGCAGGAAGAGTGGTGCAGAGAAGCTGCTTGAGTGTTCGATCGAGGATGGCACAACCGTTCGCGCCCCTAGTCAAATCCGCAACAATCCCAAACCCAGGCCCAGTGGCCAATCACAACATGAAACGCTGCTCACGCACTCATTTGTCTCTGTGCAACACAGACGTTGCCGTGTGTGTTTTATTTGTGCGGAGCGTATGTATTGCAGCATGGTGCACATGCGCTCACGGTGATGATTGCTGGCCTTACCTACAACAGGGCTCAGGGTGTATAGACCCACCGGTCTAGGAGTCTAGGATTGGGAGGTGTTTCACTGTTCGATAGCAAACCTCAACTCTAAGCCTAAACGGATAACCCTAAAGGATCTTCTGCACTTGGAACGTGGGGCTTCGTGACAGAACCGTTTCCCGGTGCTGGGCCCAGAAAAGAACACGCCGACATGTTTTGGGATGAGGGTCTGTAGGCCATAAGATTTGAAGTTTAGGGCTTCGGGCTTTAAGTTTTAAGTTGAAAGGTTGAGGTTTCGACGGTAGGGGGTTCTGGGTTCTTAAATCCAAGATTCATGAGGGGTGCTGGAACTTTGCTTGCTAAAAAGACCGAGGGTTTCTTGTTTCAGGCCCTTGCCGAGTTACCGCTCGCTTTCATCGGCTCGGATTTGGGGTTCTTGAAGTTTGCGGCTCCAGAGGACTTTTCATGAAGGTTCGGGCGGCTGTCTTCTTTGCGAGTTTTCTTTGGACCCGGAGGAACATGCCAAGCGGATTAGGGCCAACGAAATGTGCCTAGCACCTGGGGTCAGGAGAACCCCGAAAAGGGCTAGGTCCTCACCTCAAAGAGACGCAATTGAACAGAGACCTGTCGCCCGAAGTTGTAGAACGTAAGTATGGTGACCTTGTTCATATTTTAATTGCTAAGTCCCAGCAGCCATTGAGCGATTCAAGTACTCAACCTCTAAGCCCTGACATCCGCAAGCATCAAAAAAACCGAAACCCTAAACCCTAAACCCCTAAACCCTAAACCTTAAACCTTCAACCCTTAAACTCTTAAACCCTAAACCCCTAAACTCCTAAACCCTAAACCCTCGTACGGCTCTCAGCTCGAGCTCTTCGGACGCTGGACCTTCAGTGCTGCGGCTTAGATGGGCGAAGCCTAGGAGAGCCCTGGCAAGATGGGCTTAAGGGCAGCACGGGCGGCGCCGGCTGCCGCAGGACGGGCGGGCGGCGCTGGCCACTACGAGTGCAGAGGTGGAACGTAGTACGTAACCCCTGCCGGGCGTGCAGTCTGGCGGCATATCGCCCCGACACGTGTGTCTGTTCAAATCATTTCAATCCCATTCTGAACCATAATTAGAGCAGCCAGCCGTGAGCTCGACGCATATAAAGTGTGAAAGATTCTAGATGCAGAGGCTTCTCTGTCAGCGTGTGGCAAAGGTCTGCCGAAGTGGATGCGGCTGAAAGTGCAGCTTGAGCAGATGGAACAAATCGGGTCGGTGCACTTTTCTGGCAGTCGTTGGGCTTAGCAACTTGGGCTTTGCCTGCAAGATCTCAGGTTCTGCAACTCTTTCACCGGCTCGATTCGGTCCCGTGGCTTTGATGATCCCTCTGTTGCATCGCCGCCATCGGCAGCTCTTCCAGAACATCCTGACAACAACGCGCTCTTGTCTGCAAGCCGGTTTGGACAGCGTGGCAGGCCTTCTTGGGCTGCTGCGATATAGAGCCTGACGAGCAAGTGCCGCGACGCATGCAGGTTTATTGCTTGCCGGCTTCGCGATACAAACACGCAAACCGACGCGCTGCCTTCGAGCTGCTTTGTGGTCCCAGCGCTTGGATCCTTGTGATGCCTAAGAACAATCGACAAGCTTTAAGAGACCAGCATGCGCACCATGCAGCTACAAATGTATGAAAGCCGCGACAGGTCCGGGAGGCCTCTGGCCCTCCAGCGGGCTTTTGCGCAGGGAGCGGCCAAAGGTTGCAGCGGGCCTCGCAGAAACGCGCCCAGAAGCAATCGATGCCGCCGCAGCATTAAGATAAAATGTACCATGACATCATCGGAGCTTTCATGGGCGGAGCAGGAGCCTTTGCTCCGGAGTCTGGACTGGGGTGCGGCGCCTCATCCAACTCAAGCTGGCTTTGTCAACTTCGTACATTGCAAGAGGAAGGGGGGGCTCGCAAGGCACGGTGCTCCCAGGCCCGCACGCTGACGACTGCGAGGCCGTCCTCTCCTGGCAACAGCATTGACGCTGTGACCTCGAATCATCAATGTGTAAAGCCAGGCGGCGAGACCATCGCAGGATTCTCTGCGCCACTGGCAGTGCGACTGACAGCATCAACATAGCCGCTGGACGCACGTCGCAGATGAGCCTGCAAGGGGATGCATGTCGTCAATTCGTAGAGGCAGAGAGAGAGAGAGAGAGCGAGAGAGAGAGAGAGAGAGAGAGCAGAGACAGAGAGAGAGAGAGAGAGACAGAGCCAGAGACAGAGAGAGAGAGAGAGGGCGAGAGAGACAGAGAGAGACAGACAGCGGGACACAGAGACAGAGGGAGAGAGAGAGAGAGGAAGGAAGAGAGAGAGAGAGAGAGAGAGAGAGAGAAGCCCATGCATGAGAGGCAGCACAAAACAGATGTTTGGTCTTGCCGATTACTTGCAGTTACTTGCATCATACAGTGGCCTTGATATGCTTTACTCATGCATGCTGCATGGTGCAGAGGTCTTCCTCCAGCTTGGTCAGGCTCGAGCAGTTACGATCTCAGACCATGTTGGCAAATCCAATCCTGCCTGACTACCCTCGACACGCTTAAAGACATCCCAGTGCAGCACGAAGTTGAACCTCGCCGGTGACTTTCTATGCTTTGCTGGCGTGCCTGATTGCTCAAGGCCTCCAGGCTTCGCAGCTCGCTGTGATAACGAAGCTTAGCCTGTTCCGGCCCAGATGTGCAGGATGTTGCGACATCTTCAGCAACATTCTACCATGTTGAGAAACAATGATTACCTGCAATGCGGACAATGCAAGATGACCGGTGTCGGGACTGATGCAAGGAACACACCGAACTTCTGCCGAGCAGAAGTAGTCTCGCTTGCACATAGCTGACTTTTGACGAAGCGCGTAATTCACGTGCGGAGCTGAGGCACAACATGAGGATTTGTCCCGGCCTGGGCCACGTTCTGTCGCAGCTTCTCTTCCTGCCGAAACCGTGCGCCGTGCAGCTCTTATCATGCGGGGCGAACGGGATACCAGTACGAACAAGTCACGTCATACCTCCATATCAACTAATATTGCAAAGCCCGAGCCTGCAAGACCCAAGCAAACTTCCTGTTGGCAACAAGACGCCTGCAACTCCTCTTCAGCAAGCTGCTCGCGATGTTCATCCTGCGCTGGCCAGTAATTCCCATCTTCCGACACTTCGTTCTTCCGTTCAGAGTTACATGTCACAATTTTGTTGTTGTTGTTGTTGTTGTTGTTGTTGTTGTTGTTGTCGTTGTTGTTGTTGTTGCTGTTGCTGTTGCTGCTGTTGTTGTTGTTGTTGTTGTTGTTGCTGTTCCCTCGAGCTCCTGCTGGCAGCTGGCGTGACCATCGTGGGTTGCGAGCACTTTTCGAGACTAACACACACACACACACAGAGACACGCACACCCGCACACACACACACACACAGACACAGAGACGCGGAGACAGACAGACAGCCACCCATCCATTCGAGCCTCGGCCTCGAAGTAAGGCCTCACCGCCGCCAAGGCTGCAGGCGTTGGCGCCTGGGGCCAGGGCTCTCGGTATTTTAGGGTGGAAACGGTGGTTTGGGGCGTGGTTGGTGGGTTTAGGGTTTAGGTTGGTTTGGGGCTCTCCATGCCAGTAGCATCACTGTCAGAGAATGTCATGGCTGAGCCGGAGGAAACTGGGCTGGGAACTTGCAAATATCTGACTTCCTGCTTCAGGGAATGGATTCCTGAATCACTACAACTTTCAAAGCACTTCAGGGCTCAGAGTCTGCAGGGCCTTGCTCTGTTGGGGCTAAGGGGCAGGAAGCCCACAGGCGTTGGCTGCTGCTCAATCCGTAGGACCTGCTTCACCCTGCATCTTACTCCCCAAACCTGTTAGGGACCCTCCAGAAAGGGAAGGCTGTGGTAGCTTAGGGTAGGATGAGGCTGAACTTCGAATTCTAAAAAGGATCAAATTCAAATTTAATCCATTCTATAGCGGGGGCTGGGTCAGGCCAGCTTGGCGGCTTAAATTCGAATTTAATTCGATGTTTGGGGCAAGCGGCCTTTCCAGAGAGGCTTGAATTCGAATTTAATCTTCCTTTGGGTCGCCTGGCTTTAAATCGAATTTCAGCCGCAGCTAGGGGTTGTCTCGTCCTTTGCGGCGGTTGTTCGGTGGGTGCGGCGGGTGCGGTGGTTGTGGTGGGGCTCGGTGGTGAGTTTGGGAAGGTCTGCGCCCAAGATCCACGTACCGAACGTGGGGGGGCTGCATACGTTTCGGTTTAGGGCTTAGAGTTCAAGGGTTAGGGTTTAGGAGTTA